CCATCATGCATTGCGAGTGAGATAAAAATTTCCCTATTCAAACAGCTAAAATTAATATTTTCGAAATTAAGAAAATCAATTGTACTTAATTAGAGTGTATGTCATACCTTTTAGCATTATCTATTTTCTAAATTCTTCAAGAAATTTAGAGATACTCATCAAAATACTGGAATACTTTGAGTACTTTCAGGTTCAGTACAGATCTTACGACTGGCTATTTTTATTCGCCAAATAAAGTGAAAATATCTTCATCAAATGCGAAAGCAATACCTTAGTGTTTGTATTATTAGTAGTAGAAGTATAATTACAAAAGAAAAAAAAAAGGAAAAAAAAATGCACAAAACCGGTTAAAACCAAATACTGAACAAAACTGAATGAAACACCAAAGGCACTCGGGAAAGCTCTTGATACTCCTCATGCAGCACATGGAGCTAAACGGGTACCACAGGCAGCCCAATTTGGATAACAGTGCTAGTAGAAAATAAAATCTGGAAATATATTCGAATTATTGGAAAAAATATGGGTTAGAGTCTAGGAAATTTTCTAAATAAAAAAAAGTACCAAATGCACAGACCACGTGTCATTCTCTTGCTAATAAGACTTTCTGTTCAGTTTGTTTTACATGGGAGGTCACCGTTTTCCCCTACTATTATCCTTTAACATTTGTATTTTTGTTTTTTTGCTATCATTTGGTAAGAAGTATTATTAAACTTTAGACAAACGACGTCTGCAAATTCAACAAACGTAAGTCGGAGTTGAAAGTCCCTCCCACACACGAAAATAGAGGTTGAACTGATCGAGAAGAAGATAGCAGTGGGAATATGCTATATTTAGGATGACTGCCAGGAAAAATCATCCCCTATAATGAGAGTATGTGGACCGCGTGGCACTAATGAATCCCAGCGAGGTCGGAAATTAATTTTTCCGAATTTAATTCCAAGGGCTTTCGCCCGGAATAACCTCGTTCCCAAGCACTACAACTTGTAATGATTTCTGTTCCTTGGTGGTTGTGAAATATGGCTTTATTTTGAGTATATCAATTCGGGCTACAAATGTGTATCATACAGTCTGATAGATGGATATAGGGTTTCAGTCAATGCTATGGTATCATATGACATATAGCATGACACAACTTACCTATATTATCCCCTATAATAAGAGCCAAGGCTATTTGTTCGATTCGACGCATCTTAAGGCCGTTAGATAACGGCCCCATCTCATGTCCAGGATTTCCAGCCGATTTTGAACGAGGTACCGTAAGACAAGCCTCCTAACTTCTCCTTACGAGCCGGAAAAACAAAATTTACTGTAACTCGTCAAATACTCAACGGATTGGCCTTAAACTCAGCCCAGACCCACAGTGGATCAATAGTTTTTACATTATTAATATATTGTTTACATACTCCATACTTTTACTGTAATTCGATCGACACTAAAATTGAGCTTGGGATACCTGTGCCATGGAAAGCTTTGTCGAAGAATTTTTCAAGAACAAAACTAACCTCTGAGGTACGATTGGCTGGTGGTGGGTTGTGTTTCTAAGCGGGAGAGTAATAAGGTTGAAAACAAAGACTCGCCAAAATCGCCCGGAGCCCATGTTCCTCTTGGTCAGCATCTTGGTCTCTGGATACGGAGATTGAAAGACTCGCGTGAAGAAAACGATGTAGTGGATTTTGATTAGATTTTTTAATTTTATGTTTTTCATCATGGGAGACATAATCTTGATCTCGGATAAAACTACTAATTGAAAAATTTCCCCCGATTGATTTTATTTTCACTTTTCAGTTTTATCTAAATTGGGCTTCCTGTGTCTATTGGAAGCACCGCTGTGCCAAAATGAGAACTCGCTGGCTTCATTTTTGTTTATTGAAATATAACGCCACCAGAGATTTCAGCGTTTTCCTCCGTTTTTCCGATACGAATTTGGTCTTCTCGCTATCTGTTACATTGAGTGAGAAGTAATTTGAAGCCCTTCGTGGATTTCAAATTGATGATCAATGAAGATGATTGTCAGACACCTTCCTAGTTGGTTGTGCAAGAATTTCAGAAAGATCCGAGTCCTAACCTTGGTTTCGTTTTGTGCTATTACAATCTTCTTATTTAGTCAAATATTACCTTCACCTCCTACTCCAAACGTCGTCTGGCCAGAATTTTCTCTGCATCTGCCTTTTGTTGAGCCAAAGATTAGTTCGACAGACAGGAATATTTATCTGGCAGTCGCAGTAAATTCTGCTGCCACAGGGCACAAATATCGTGGACTGAGGAAAGCTATACGAGAAACATGGGGAAATTCAGGAAATCCAACTACGTTGGAGTACAGGAACAAAACTTGGAAAGTATATTTCGTTCTGGGGATCAGTGAAAACAATACTGAACATGCAATGAATCTACAAGAAGCATCGCGAAACAACGATGTAATCATTGGGAATTTCACAGATAATTATAAAAGCTTGATATTAAAGACATTTATGTCTCACTACTGGATAACCTCAAGATTCCCTTCATGCAGGTATGTTTTAAAAACAGATGATGATGTTTATGCTCGAGTTCCAAGGCTTTTACAGTGGCTAGAACGAGCTGGCGCTCCTAACAGGTTTTATGGAGGATATGTCGGCTTGGATCAGTGGACTGTACGTGACCCAAAGAGCAAATGGTTTCTTTCGAAAGAGCAATATGAAAAAAGGTACTTGCCACCGTTTTGTCATGGAGCTTTTCACGTGCTTTCTACCGATATTCTTCCACGATTTTTCAATTATACGAGATTCGGTCGAAAGCCTTTTCATGCTGATGATGCTTACTTAGGTGTCGTGGCTAATGAATTAGGAATTGAAGCTACAAAGATGCCTGGTTTTAACCTTCACTTTCGCATCAAACCAAGATCAGCTTGTGATCTTATAACTTCTACAACAATGGGACACAAGATAGATGCTTCTACGATGATAAAATACCACAATTTTTATACTAAAGAAATGAAATTAGCAAAGTATAAAAAGCTTAAATGCTTAGCATCCAATCCAGAACTCTTTTCTGTTGCTGCTTTCGTGATTTTCAGTTTATTTATAGAAAGGCTTTTTAGAGTTATATTACTAAGTTGAAACTGTAAAGTATAGTAAAACTGATTACAATGAAATACACAAAGGAAACTAAACAAAGAGATAAAAAGAAAAATAGAACAACCAGACAAATGAAAGCAAAACAGAGTGTACGTTTGTACGTACTTTATTTCGGCTTCACAAGCTTTACTTACTCTGCATCTTTCTTAAAATGGTGTCTCATATTAATAATCGACAATGTTTGAAGTTTTTAAAATCGTTTATTTAATTAAGATTGTTATTTTTAATTAAATGGTAATTCAACTGTTCCCAATCACACCCATTAGAACAATCATCGATCACAACACTTACCACAGGGTACCCAATTTAGATGAAAGTGCTAGACATAAAACAGACTGAATTTAGTCAAACTGTTGAAGAGTTGAAGTCTTCTATATTAGATAAGTCATTTACTATTTTATTTGACATCACATAAATTGAAAATTCCCATGCCAATATAGTCGGAACATCAGGGAAGAAAATGAAGATGTAATCGACTGTCTCTTCACAAATTCTCTGGTAAAGAAAACCCCCTGATTCACATGACCGTTGGTTTAGCGCATACTTGCTATTTTAGGTGATGTCACTAAAATATTTATCTAAGTTAGATAAATTTAT